ACATTTTATACTAATCAAGTAGCATTAAAAACAAGACACAACCAACAGTTTCAGTCTTTGATAATCATACTTTTGTTCTTATATATGATGCTATACTCTATATGTATATATCTATACATTTGGTGAAGCACTTTGTAACCTTGATTAGTGAAGTGCTATATAAATAAAGTTATTATTACTATATCTTTTTATCACCTTCTTTTAAACATGTTTTATGAGCTTTGAGCCTTTATTTGTTAGGACAGTGGATAGCATCAGAAACTTGAGAGAGAGGGTAAAATAGTTGCAAGAGTAGCCACATGTCGGACTTGAACCAGGGCCGCCTGCTTGACGGACTTCAGCCTCGAACATGGGATGCTACCTCACCGCTAGGCCATCAGCCCTTAGGTTTTTTTTTTTTGAACTACATAATTTAAATTAATTATCACAGCTGTTCCACACGTTTTATTAACTTCTGTTTGCACTGTAACTTCTTCTTGTGCATTGAAGCCTCTCACCAACAATTTTCTCTTTTTCTCTTCTGCTTTTCTCATATACGATTGGTATACTTGTTGGTATTAATTGCTACTTAATTGTCAACAACAACATCAAGCTGCTTTCATCACATGAAAGGTGCTATATGAATAAGGTCACATCAGCATCCACTCGTTGTTAATACTACCTTAAGTTGTTCAAAGTTATAAATACTGTGAATTCTGCTGCTTCAGTGACATCATGTCCGGCCTGAGTGAAAGGCGCGCCTCCTATAGCAGAGGTGTTAATACAGGAAGTGGTCAGTCAGCCTGTACCAAGTACCGACTATATCATGGGAAAATTCAGTTAGAGCACGCTGTGAAAGCTTCAACTGTTCCCTCAGTATTCTCAATAAGAAAACGAGTTACAGTCAGTACTAAAAGAAAAACATCTAGATGGTAAATGAGGCAGAACCTAAAGTAACATGTCAGATTAGATGAAACATATTGTTATCTTTTTGTCTTCTTTTTTCTGCTAATGAAAACAACCTGAAAACATTAAAACTTTGTCATGGGCAATAAGCAGTTAGTGTTTCCGGTGTTGTGGGCTTCAAACAAACTAGAAACTAGAACTCTACCACAATGTGGAACATTTGCATGTTGAGGTTTTGCTTCTTTTTTTCACCATCTTACTGTGGCTTTAGTTTTTTGAATTTGAATTGTTATTTTAAAATGATTTACTGAGAGACATGCTTCTCACACACATTGACCTGAATCACACACATGTTCAAACAGGACCTGTGGACGTGCATTAGTGGAGAGAAGTCAGAGTGGGGCTGCTACACACTGCTATGCAGGCAGTGCACCAGATCAGTCGTGGGTTATTATTTATTAATGATCATGTGAATCATTAGATGGCATTCTATTTGTAATTCTGCCACCAGGGTGTGTTAGACAAGGACACTCATATATTGTGTATTGAAAATCATTGTTTATTTTGTTTATAAAAACACAACATAAATAAATATAATAATATAATATATTTGGAATAACATGCAGCACATAGAACACTAGAAATGTTAGGTGTGTATGTGGTCTTAAAGTTATTGGCATTATGTTTCATGGATGTGCAATAATTAGTTATTAGTGCCATTATTTATTTATTTAACCCTAACAGAAGCCATTTCACATGATCTCTTTCTTATTTGAGCAGTAGACAGGAAGTGTAAACAGGTTTGTTGAGGTTGGTGCTTAGAATTGTGTGAAGTGCAATAGGGAAGGAAGTACAGAGACAGAAGTCCGAGAGAAACTCTGCTCTCACATTTTAATGAACTGTTACTTGTCTTTCTCCTCTTTTCCTTCTGCATTATTAGAAATGTAAAGTTAATGTTTTATTTTAAAACTAAGCGTCAGAGTTTCATTGTCGTTTTGGATGTGAAGATGGACCAAACCTTGCGTTGTGTGCTGGGTTTTTTCTGTGAGTACATCAGAGCTCTTTAAGTTTTGTGACTTTCAAACAGCGAGTCATGTTTCTATGAACATGTAGTTCAGCTGTTTGAATAATACAACAGGAGTTAAGCACTTGCTGTTTGTACAACATTTGAACAAGGCGTGAACAGTAAATAGTCGATAGTTTGGGAAAAAAAAGCTTTAGGATTGAAATGGCTGCAAACGTTTGTTGTTTTGTGAGAAATTCTGTTTATTGATGGATAGCCCCTTGAGATGAACCATCTCGTTTTTGAAAGTTTTGACAATAACAGTTACCTAAAATGAAACTCTATCTGGATTTAACACCTTTAATTCTTCCCTGATGAACTATTATCTTTATTTTAGTGCTGAATTTGATCCCCCACGGATTGGCTCAAGGTAAGTGATTGTCTTATATTTCTGATTTTTGTTTTTTAAATATTTCTGCAGTTCCTCTATTTATTACCTACTTCATCTCTTTAACATCATCCACATGTAGTGTTTTGTGTTTATGTATTATCTCTTAAGTTTTAAAAGAAAATGTCCTAGAACATGAACTGAAAATGTTTTTTTTTAAGCTATGTATTTTAGTTTTCTCTTTTGACTCGACTCTGTCCTCACCATGGAAAGCTGCTGGTATTTCTAGAAACTGTTGTGACTCTGTAAGCTCTTATATCTCTTCAACAGCTGCTTCTTTTAACGCTGCTTTATACGTTACTTTAAAACCATTTACAACATTATTGTTGTGTCATTATTGTTACAGTTATATTGTACAGACATTTAAATCATTACAATAAGGATCATGGATGAAAACTGTAATATTTTCTATTTTTTTTTTTTTCCAATCCTGTTTCTTTGTGATGTGAACAGGTAACCGTCCCCGTGTGACCATTACATCCAACTGGCCTGAAACATTCTGGGCTGAGACGCTCACTCTCAGATGTGAGATTGAGGGAGGTGGAGACTCTGAATGGACGTTTGGATGGAGAAGAGACAGAACATCCAGCTCAGACAAACATACAGCAGACAATAAATACATTATTAGCCAAGCCACTGATTCTGACAACGGAGACTATCAGTGCTCAGGCAGAAGGGGATCCCCTAATTCTACCTTCACGCCTTGGAGTGAACCCTTCAAATTGACTGTAACAAGTAAGTTGAACCATGTTGTCAATAATTAAAATGTCCAGGTGGAAATGATTTCATCTAAATGAGAAAACAAAACATTGCTTGCTTAAAGTCTTTGCAGGGAGCTGTGACAAATTATTTTTTAACTTTCAGCATGGTAACAAAATAACTGAGAAACTTAAGACTATCACATCTTTTGTAATCTTCTTAAAATATGTCTTAATATGGTTTAAAACAGTGAATTTTGATGTCACTAACAGTGTCTGAATAATTTCTTTCTGTGGGGCAGATTAGGGTTAAAAAACAAGACAAACATGTTTGTGTGAGTTTTTGTCTTGTTTTTTTAAGTGTGCTTCTAAATACATTTGATTGGTTGATGTTGTTTTTTAAAGTGATACATGATTTGGGTCTTTTCTGGAATTTAACTACTTTAAATTTAATATAATTTAAGAGATAAATCTTAACACTAGTTTCAGCTCATAATTCTTCAAGTCATTTTTACTTCTGGGCTCAGCACTGTTTGAATTTGACCAAATTGTAGGTACAGTAATTTACCTTTTTACATTTTTGTTTCCAAATCAAACAGCAAGAAGACCAAAGGCTGAACTGAGAGCTGATAAGACATCAATTCCAGCAGGGGGCGCTGTGACTCTGACCTGTGATGTGAACCCTCCATCATCTGGCTGGACGTACATCTTGTACAGAGGAGATCACCCGGGCACACAAGATGATGATAAAAAGTTCAATGGACGAATCATTGTCTCCAAGGGAGGAGTCTACAGGTGCAGAGGAGAGAGAGGAGAACCAGTTTACTACACAGAGTACAGTGATTCAGTCACTATCAACATCATTTGTGAGTTTAACATTTTTGTAAAGTTGTAAAAATGTTTTTATCCATAAATTGATTGATATAAAAAGACTAAAGATGTTTCTTTTTTTCTCATCATTGTGTCCTTGTTGGGATCTCTTGAACACAAACAGTATCAAACAGAGCTGTTGTGACTCTTCAGCCCCATTGGACTGAGATACACAGCGGAGAGAAGATCACTTTGAGATGTGAAATCGAGGGTGGAGACGACTCTGAGTGGGAGTATGAGTGGAAAACAACCAGCTCTGATAGATCTGTAAGACAAAGTGAATCCTTTGAAATCACTGCTACTTCTCACAGTGAAGGAGAATACAAGTGTAAGGGAAAACACAAAACTGAGGTACTTTCTTCAACACCATGGAGCACTCCAATCAGATTGACAGTATCAGGTAAGATGGACTTAAAATCAACATGAAAACAGTTTTTAGGATGTTTGTGTATGTTAAGAGAAACTATCATTCATATCTGAACAGTACTCAAATTGTGACTTTATTTCTTCATTGAGAAAGTTTTAGTGCAGATCACAGTGATTAAGTGTGTCTTTGGTACAATAAGTTTCATGGATGAAGTTCATGTGTATTTATTTCCATAAGGTATTTTATTAATGGCTATTTAAAGAAACAGTAATCATTTATATATCCCTGTTTTAAACTGAACAGCACAAAAACCAAAGCCTGAGCTGAAGGCTGATGACACAGATATTCCAGTAGGAGGTTATGTGACCCTGACCTGTGATGTGAGCTCTTCATCTGGTTGGCAATACTACTTTTGGTACAGAGCAGATAAATCCTCTAACTCATCATCCATAAATGAAGTCTCCTCGGCTGGACAAAAGCGTGTCTCAAAGGAAGGACTCTACTGGTGTAGAGGAGAGAGAGGAAACCAAGTTTACTACACAGAGGACAGTAATACAATTCAGTTAAAATAAAATAATAAGTTTTGAATATTGACATTCTTTGGTGTAGATTTAAGGTTTTTTCATCTTTTTATATGTGACGGGGTCCTCTTTCAAAACACCCAAAAATCATAAAAACACAGGCGTAGTTGAAGACTGCAATTGATGTCGTTTATTTTCAGTCGGCCTCCCAAGGTGCAGTCACAGATATTTACAAAAAAATACAAAAACAGGAAAAACAAAATACAATTTTTTTTATTTATACTATTTACAAAAGAAAAAGTCTTCCAAAAACAAAATTCCACCTGAGCGAGCAAACAAAACAGCATTTCAAAAAGAAAGTCTCCAACACATTACCTCCTCTGTAACCAGGACTAGACTGAAAGCAGCAAGCAGCCATCTCTTAAAGCAAGAAGGAGTCACGCCTCAAAACACACTTTTACATGTTGGCTTTTGAGTCCTAATTAGGTTGCTTGTGTTTCTTTCTGATGTATTTCTATCAAATATCATTTAATATTAAAGTCTGATTATATTGTTAGTATTCTGTGTGTGCATTTGTGTTTGGGCACATATGTATGTGTGAGTTTTTGTCTTGTTTTTCTAAATGTGCTTTATGAATACATTTGATTGATTGAAGCTGTTTTTTAAAGTGATACATGATTGGGTCTTTTCTGGAATTTAACTACTTTAAATTTAATATAATTTAAGAGATAAATCTTAACACTAGTTTCAGCTCATAATTCTTCAAGTCATTTTTACTTCTGGGCTCAGCACTGTTTGAATTTGACCAAATTGTAGCTACGGTAATTTACCTTTTTACATCTTTGTTTCCAAATCAAACAGCAAGAAGACCAAAGGCTGAACTGAGAGCTGACAGCACATCAATTCCAGCAGGGGGCGCTGTGACCCTGACCTGTGATGTGAACCCTCCATCATCTGGCTGGACGTACATCTTGTTCAGAGGAGATCACCCGGGCACACAAGATGATGGTAAAAACTTCAATGGACGATTCAGTGTCTCCAAGGGAGGAGTCTACAGGTGCAGAGGAGTGGAGAGGAGAAACAGTTTACTACACTTATTACAGTGATTCAGTCACTATCAACATCATTTGTGAGTTTAACATTTTTGTAAAGTTGTAAAAATGTTTTTTATCCATAAATTGATTGATAAAAAGACTAAAGATGTTTCTTTTTTTCTCATCATTGTGTCCTTGTTGGGATCTCTTGAACACAAACAGTATCAGACAGAGCTGTTGTGACTCTTCAGCCCCATTGGACTGAGATATACAGCGGAGAGAAGATCACTTTGAGATGTGAAATCGAGGGTGGAGACGACTCTGAGTGGGAGTATGAGTGGGAAACAACCAGCTCTGATAGATCTGTAAGACAAAGTGAATCCTTTGAAATCACTGCTACTTCTTACAGGGAAGGAGAATACAAGTGTAAGGGAAAACACAAAACTGAGGTACTTTCTTCAACACAGTGGAGCACTCCAATCACATTGACAGTATCAGGTAAGATGGACTTAAAATCAACATGAAAACAGTTTTTAGGATGTTTGTGTATGTTAAGAGAAACTATCATTCATAGCTGAACAGTACTCAAATTGTGACTTTATTTCTTCATTGAGAAAGTTTTAGTGCAGATCACAGTGATTAAGTGTGTCTTTGGTACAATAAGTTTCATGGATGAAGTTCATGTGTATTTATTTCCATAAGGTATTTTATTAATGGCTATTTAAATAAACAGTAATCTATTTTTATATCCCTGTTTTAAACTGAACAGCACAAAAACCAAAGGCTGAGCTGAAGGCTGATGTCACAGATATTCCAGTAGGAGGTTATGTGACCCTGACCTGTGATGTGAGCTCTTCATCTGGTTGGCAATACTACTTTTGGTACAGAGCAGATAAATCCTCTAACCCATCATCCATACATGATGTCTCCTCGGCTGGACAAAAGCGTGTCTCAAAGGAAGGACTCTACAGGTGTAGAGGAGAGAGAGGAAACCCAGTTTACTACACAGAGGACAGTAATACAATTCAGTTAAAAGAAAATAGTAAGTTTTGCATATTGACATTCTTTGGTGTAGATTTAAGGTTTTTTCATCTTTGTATACTTACTGTGAATTCTTCAACATTAGCGGTTGCAAACAAGGCTGTCGTGACTCTGCACCCCAACTGGTCTGAAATCTACTTAAAGAGTTGATTACTCTAAGATGTGAGATAAAGGATGGAGACGACGCTGAGTGGGAGTACGAGTGGAAAACAAGCAACTCATTCAAACCTCCAAAGGAAAAGGAATACAGTATTGGACCTGCTGATACATCACACAGTGGAAACTACAGTTGTAAGGGCAGAAAAAAAAGTGACCAGTCTCCAACAGGTTGGAGCGATCCCATCACATTAACGGTTTTATCCAGTAAGTAACATTTCTTTCATATAAACATTATACTGTACTATCAGATATTCCATCATTACATGGTTTTATTTCTTTGAATAATCACTTTTCCAACAGGTTCACCCCAGCCTGTCCTCACCGTGTCTCCACTCTGGCTGAGTCCTGGAGACTCTGTGACTCTGAACTGTGAGGTTAAACACCCATCAGCAGGATGGAGGTTCTACTGGTATGAAGCTATTCCCAAACTATCTGACAACTCCTACAACTACCAGCTGCTATCTGGAAGCAGAGATGGAACTGAAAAGTATTCCTTCATTGTTCATGGACAGACACACACAGCAGGATATGTGTGCAGAGCTGGAAGAGGAGAAATGAACACTCCTTATAGTGAACCAAAGTTTGTCTGGTCTGGAGGTCAGTTTGTTTCTGTCTTTATCTTGAGATTAATATCTTTATTCAGTTTTGATCTATGAACAACATAGAGTTTCTTCAGTACTTTTGTCTGTATTGTACAACAATCCAAGAGCAAGATAGGAATCGATCACGATGACTTCATGCTCTTTCTTTCCCCTTCCTTTTAGTGAACAACTTTTCATTGAGTTGTAAGCGTGTATACATACATATACATTCTCAAAATAGTTCAACAGAAAGCTCAATATCTACACTCGATTATCAAAATAAATACACAACTTAACTTGGAGCTAATGTGCAGGTAGTTTGTAAATATATCTTCATCTGTCTAAATAGACAATTTAAAAGCATCATATATGTGGTGTGTGTGTATCCACAAGTGCATATGCATGAGCCTACAGTACAACATACACAGCCAAATGCCAAACTCGTTTCCTTGGTGAGTGGTTGTTGTTGTTTTTGGTAGCATGAAAAACACTAAAAGGAAGATTATTAGAGTCTATCACTTAAATAATCGTTCAATAAAAACATTTTACTTTGTATAATTAAGCATCTTATTGCTAATTGCTGACTCTCACATGTGAGGGCTTGTTTGATTAAAATAATGTTGGTCAGTAATCAGTGGTATGTACACACTATATGAAAAATCTATTTCAGCCATTCCTGATAAAACAGAATATGGACTGAAGAAAAAAAACAATGCTAATCTGTCATATCTTTGACAAATGGCAGGTCAAAGAAAGTCTTTTAATTTACAGACCGAATTCCTTGGTTGGATATCTACATTAAATATAAAGTCCAATGGCAGCTAACGGTCTGGGCTTTGTTGAACCTCTTGTTTCTTTCTTTCTTTTTTAGATTTGCCTTCATCAGCATCTCTCACAGTGAGTCCTGAAAGAGCGCAACACTTCATCTCTGATTCTGTCTCACTGGAGTGTAAGGGGAACTCTACTCAGTGGAGAGTGAAGTTTCAAGAGGACAGCTCCCTTGCAGATTGCTCCCTGTGGGATAAAATGACTGGATCAACATGCACAATAGAGGAATACAGATCGAGAAATAATGTGTACTGGTGTGAGTCTGGATCAGGGGAGTTCAGCAACGCTGTCAACATCACTAAACAGAGTATGTTTTTATTACATTTCTTAAAGTTTTTATCTTTCAGCATCCAAGTATTCAATTCAACATCATTCAGTTACACGTTATCTCCATCGACATTGAGAAGTAAAAGAGCAGCCCAGTGTGGGAGAGTTTACTCTCTTAATTAGATAAAAGCAAAGATTAAGGTCTGAGTGTATATCATTATTAAATACTGATCACATTTGTAGACAGTTGCTGCTCAAACACATTTGATGCCAAAGTCTTAAACATAAGAAGGAGTAAGGTGTACACAAGATAACACATCAGATTAATCATCACTTTGAAGCATTGCTGTAAAAAAAGAAGAAATATATTCTCATCATTCTGTGTCTGCTAATTTTCATGTTTGAACCTGATGACCTCTGACTGAATCCTCTTTTCTTTAACTGTTTTACAGAGTATGAAATTATCCTGGTGAGCCCTGTCCATCCAGTGACTGAAGGAAGTTCAGTTATTCTTAGCTGCAGATTGAGAAGCTCAGATATTGTTTCCAATGTGTTCTTCTATCAGAATAACAAACTCATTCAAAATGATACCAGAAAGGAGCTTAATATCTCTGCTGTGTCAAAGTCTGATGAGGGCTTCTACAAGTGTCAGACCTCAGGGAGAGAGTCGTCTCAGAGTTGGATGTCAGTAAAAGGTGAGTGGGATAGTCAGGGAGATACCCCGTGCCCTCTAAAGTAATGTACATACTTTCATGCACTAATGTTAAACAGACACTCTTGAAGTAACATCAAGCCGGCTTAGAGGCCTGTGTTAACGTTAGCTTAGCATGAATAGCAACCAGTACTTGGGTGTGAATGACCTCGGACAAAATCATTTCAAATGTTTTATTTATTTTTTTATAAGCAGCAAAAAAGTATCCCTTTAACTGAAATGTATTTTGATGTGTTTTTAGCTTTATTGTAGATGTTTTGTGCTTCTTGCAGAACAGGTAATACTCTCCAGAGAGTTAATTGATTTCTCACCTCTTTTGGTCGGGGTGCCAACTCCTACATAAGAGGAGGCTTGAGGGCCTTGCAGGTTGTTGGTGGTTGGAGGGGCAAAGTGTTGGAGAATTGTTGACAGTAACCAAAGAGTGTGCCGCGCTGCAAGAGCCCACGATGGCATTGTTTAGCGCTGAGTCGCGTCTTTAGTTTGTCACTTTTTACATTCTGTTATTTACTTATTTCTTGCTAGTTTTATTTTTTATTTTTAAATTTTTCTCCAGGCCTGTACTGTACATATTGCTGCACTTTCTCCATTGCATTCATTTAATTTCATAGCCACTAGGCCATCCTTACAAAGATACAAATTACTAAATGATTTTATGTAAACCATGTTTTGTCTGAAAAAGAAAAAGGTCAAATACACCATCTAGTTGGAAGTAACCACACTTTAAGTGATTGACCTTATTGATTCAATAATTTAGTGTTGAATGAGTAATTTGGTTAAATCCTGGATTGCGATAAAATGATGTATTCATTGTAGACTATTTTCTTTACACATGTTTGTGTTTTGTTTTCACCGTTGCTTGAGACAACATGACAAAACATTTAATTATCATTGTCTATAATTTTAAGAAGTGTTTTATAAGTTCATTAACAGTTATTTGTTATTAATTGTAGCGGTGTCCAGGCTTGGGAACCCTTCATATCTTTTAATGCTCATGATTGTCGGGTTGATTTGTGGAGTAGTACTTATAATTCTTCTGCTCCTGTTGTATCGCTGCAGGCAGTCAAAGGGTGAGACCTTTATTTAATATTTTTCTCTTACACATTTGATGGTTTATTCCAAATGTTTGACATGAAATGGTGGCAAACTAAAAGAACAACACAATGTCTTTTTTACAGATTCATGCCTTATCAGGTTGGTTCAGTGCTCTCTTGTGTCTCATTTTGAACATTACATTAACACTTTGCCATTACGTCCAATGTTAACACCGTTTTATTTACTCAATGTTGTAGGTCAATCCAGGCTGAAAGCACCAACCAGGACTCTGCCACAAATCCGGCCGCTCAGCATCATATATACTCAACTCCCCTGCAGGGTAAGCATTTGAATTAATCATAAATATTTATATATAAGGACACCTTTTATTTTAAACATCCAAAGATACAAAGTGTTATCGTGCAGTTAGCTCGATTGATTTGATCTCCATTGCTCTTTAGGTGATGCGTGTCATTATGAATCAATCAAAGGCCCTGAAGACACCGCACATGGTACAGTTTATTCTTTTCTAATACTGAAAATGTTCCAACAAATGCAAAGGTTTTCTTTTAAACGACGCAATTACTTTCGCTTTTGGAATGCAATTTAGGCAATCAGTGCAATGTATAATATTTCTTAAATTGAGCAATGGTGTCCTGCTTAACTGGTTGGTGCATCATGTATAATTCATTTGTAGTTGCGTTATGAACAATGCCACTTCAGAGGGTGAAGGCAAGTTTCATCATCCTTTTGCTAATGTTTAAGTGTGTTAGACTTATTCAGCCTCTCTTTAGAGACACACATAACATCTTGTTTATTGCTTTAATGTTACTTTGTAGTTAGATTGACTTTCCATGGATGAAGAAGCTAAATGATCACTGAAACTTAAGGTTAAAATACTTGGTCTGATTCTACATCCATGTGCTCCTTGAGTGGTCCCAGTTTCCGAGTTGTGAAATCATTCTTCTATAAATTCAGTGTGTTCACGTGATTTCAGTTCGGAAAGTTTGAATGTTGTAAGAACTACAAAGAAAGTATGGACGCTACAAAGATGTGTGACTGTCTCTGTTATGAGTTATATTTGAGCAATACATGACTTACCGGTAATAAAAATTATCTTAACATTAACAAAACAAATATTTTGCCCCCCATGTGATGACGAATATGACCACAATTCAACAAGTCGGGGATCAAATCTTTTCCAGAGTTTTTTCTGAGTTGTTGCTCCGACTTGAGCAGGCGTTCATGTACGTTTTACAACTCGGAAACTCGTTTTCCAGATGTGTCCGATACCACATGAATGCACCATTAAACCTCCAATCAAAAACTGCACTGAACATGCTTCACCATGTACATTTTACTTTGAAGGGAACTGTTCCTGTTTCTTGCTTTTGCCTCTTTTTTGTAATATTCCATAGTACTTTTTTAATAGTGGAACTAACCAACATTTAGTGCTGCATGTCTTCACAGGGTTATGGCAACGATTGCTTGTGAAACACTTGCATAAACTTAGTTTTGGCTCAGTGAAACCAGGACAATGATGTCAGCCAATACGCTCTAAACTGTTTCCTGAAATAGTTTCCGACTGTAGATGAACTGTAGTTTATGCACGGCCCAGAATGTTTGTGAATAACAAAACATATATTTCAGATGCAAACCAGTCCCAGTCCCATGATGTTACATATTCTCTGATCGAGCTCAAAAACATCGGAAAGAAAGGTAAGTATTTCAATAAGATACAGCAGAAAAAGTACTGAAGTGTTTTTACATTCATTCGGCTCATTTGTTATGTCTTATAGGGAAGAAACCTGAACCAGACAGCACGATTTATTCTGATGTGAGGTTAGAAACAGAAGGTAGGTTACAGTGCTGCTTTAAGTTGATGTTAAAATGCATCATGGTACACACTGGTGGAGATAATGGGTCAGCTTGCAGTTCAGTAATTATTCTAAATATTTCCACTGGGTGTCAAAAGAGACAAAATTTGTCAAATGTTAGCTAAATTTGGGGCATTTATTCCTGTGACTGCTCAGTTTGGCTGTTTAAATTAACGTATGTTGGATGCATGTTATTGTCGGATCGTCATGTGTTTTAAGAACATTTCCATCTCACAGATGTATTAAGAGGGACAGTTTTGGGTCCAAACAAAAGCAAGAAGAAGAAACATTCGCTGAGCTGCCATAGTGATAACACATAATCTGTACAGTCATCATAGAAACTCAAGTGTTTCTACATTTTTCTTTCTCAATCCTTCATCTCATCCGTCTGTACTTTACAAATTCAGTCTACAAAGAAAACCAATCCTAAAATCTGTCTTTTGTTTTAGATCCATCTGTCCTTTATTCTCAAGTCAGCTGCCATAATCCAGGTAAAGCCAAGAAAAACAAAGATGAGTGAAGTAAGCAATCAACTGCAGTTTTTCTTCTCCAACACAGCGCAATATAAATGAGTGTTTTTTCTTTCAAATCGCAGGTGATGTAAGATTTTATTGTTAATATTAACTGTCAGGTGTTTTTTACATTAAAGGTCCAATATGTAGAATTTTATTACAATGTTTACGTCAAAATAAAATTAAATTGATTAGCAGAGAGAACTCACGATTCCCTGTCAGCACCAACGTCATCTTTTATTATTGGTTTGATTGAGCGCCCCCCGGTGGTGGAATCTGCATACTGTGCCTTTAATACATCTGAATTCTGCATTTGTTTTAGATGTGTTGCTTCTGAACATTTTGCATACTTAGGCAACTTTAATGCTTAAAGATGATGCTGAAATCAGTTTATTGGCTAAGGGGGGAAAGGGTTAATGGCTGCAACAATACAAATAATGACAGATTGTAATGACCATTACATACATGACAATTACAAACATAAGGCTTATTCTTAATATTCAGTATAATGAACTTTTTTTACACTGATTGTCTCTCTCAGGAAAGCCAACTCCTGCGATAACTGAAGAATCGGTTTACTCTGAAGTCAAACGAGGTACAGCTCATGGTTTTAATGCAACCTTACATCATGAGGATTTATTTTATGTATATGTCAACTGATTTTAAAACAGGCAAAAAAGTCTGGTAAAGATTGCAATATTCTTAAAAAATTACTAATCTTTTTTTCCCCTTTGCTTCTCTTCCAGATCAATAAAGTTCTGTATCTATAGACGTAAGGAATGGATGGCAACATGAAAAAAAGACAAGTCTTGGCTTGATTAGTATTTGCAGCTGTCATGTGATAATTTTGTGCTCGTGCTTGTAAATTATTAAAAGTATTCGGTACAGTAAGTAGCATAGAAAATAAATTTAATTGTGTATTTATTTTGTATTCCTGAAAGTTTGGTTGAACATTTCATGCATCGATTAACTTCTTTCACTAGTAAGCTGTGAGCAGCGTTACCCGCCTTTATTTGGGACAGGGCGGATCATTTCTTTGGTCATTTTCTAATGTTTGTGATGCAATGACAAAGTAGAAAAGGAAGATATAAGACCTGAGGTGTCTCATGTATCTGTCACATTAGAAAAGAACTGATTCATCAGATTCAAGTTTAAATGTGACATATGTCTCTTCAACAAAGTTATAGTTGTACACAAAGTGTTTGTAAAGTTGAATTGTTACGTTCCACATGTTTTTGTTTTGTTAGACTAAGTTACATTTCATTTGAACTACTTGTATCGTGCTGTATCGAGAGCAGAAGATTTTATCCACGAGGAATAGTATTTAAAAATGAGAACATAACCAGAGTATAAAAATCTCTACTCTGTTTAGCGTTAAGCTAACCACTTAGCATATGCTGTTATAGCCTGTTTTCTGTTTTTTATTTTTTTAGATTTTGAATAAGTTCATTTCATTTTCTGTTCTTTACCTTAGTGCTACTATAGTTTGTTGTATTCAAACAAAAGCCTTTCATACAATATTTGAGTTTCAATGGTTATTGGTGAACATGTCTGTACAGATTTCTGCCATTTCAATAAAATTGTATTTTTAAGATATCCTGACAGCTTCTGTGTCGAACTTATTAGCAGCACCGGTGCCAGACTGTGACCCAAAGATAGGCACCCAATGGATAAAGATGTAAACTCAGAGGGAGCGTTCAAAAAGGAAAGGCGTTTAATGCGGTCCAAGGTTTGGTACACAGAAATTCAAACAAATCCAGAGGAGAAGGGAAAAAAACAGGCAGAGATCATAAACACTAAAGCTATAGACAAAAATGCTAGGACAAAGGAAACGCTACGATCTGGCAACAGGGAGCACAAACTGGGATTCAAACAACCAAACATTTCTTTCTGACTTCACCCGGAGTTTTTCCCACCAGACCCTTAAAAACAGGATTTTCTCTGGAGAATTCACCTCAAGCCAATGGGAGGGGAGAGTGACATTTATATTCTGTGAGTGAACTACTATACTGTGAGTATTAAGTGTATGCATGCGACCGCTTCAATCTCTGTGCACATTATTAAACGGCTGCTTTATGTTTTCTCTTTTTTAGTATGTTGTTCTCCGCTCCTTTGTTGATATTGGGATTCCCATTAAACCACACGTAGCATTGATATAAGGACAAATATTCTCATTAGAGCGTCATATAGCAGACTCTGTTGCTTCCTCTGCTACTTCCAGATTTTTTTATGACATATACAGGAGTCACAAATTCTACACTTCTGCTCCCTCTACCACGGGAATAATCTACTTTTCCCCACAGCTCATACCAGGTTCTGAAAATTCATACTTAATAGTGATGAAGGACACGTACCTGTAAACTATCACAAGTTCATTTTGGCTGTCAAACAAATTGCATTAGTTGCATTAAAGGTCAGATTGAGAATGAAAACTTGAAGACTTATTTCTCCTGCATGGTGTTCACTTTCTATTCAACACAAATAAGATTCTACCTGATGTTTCGGAGTAACTTTTCATTCCTAAATTACTTTCACTTTGACATACTGTAATTTGTACTCTTAACTCTTTGCATTTAGCTTGGATCAAGAACAAGACACAAGAAGTATCTGCATGGCCCGAGCAGTGTGTGTACTTGACAGTCATCGCAAAGTGTGGGTGTTAAAAAAGGGAAGAAAAGACGTTGTGCTTGGTGTTGGAGGAAACATGAGATCAGATTAAAGATATGAGTGTCAACAGCTTTCAAGATTTAAAGCAGACATTCAACAGAGGCTGTGGGTCGCTGCTGGGTACAACATGGCACACACTACGGTCTGTGTAGTGGTGTTTTTCAGTGAGTACAAGTTTGTTTTTATCTTAATTTGTCAAGAAAATTTTGACCACCTTTTTTTCTTAGAAAACATAAGATGATACCAATTATTATTATTATTATTATTATTATTATTATTATTATTATTAATATTATTAACCCTTTGACTATTCTATGTTATTGAATTTCATATTGTCATACACCTTTATTTCACGACGAGGTCTCTGATTGAAACTGCCTTCACTTCATTCCTGTTGATTGACGTTCAATGATGATTCACTGTTTAGACGTTTTTCAGCCGTTAAAAGTTACATTGAAACTTCAGCTGTTGTTAAATACCTTTTTGTATTTTTGAAGCTTTAAAACAAACAGTTTCTGCTCATTGTGATCATATTTAATAATCTATCAATCTTCATTTCAGCGCTGGTTACACTCGTCCACTGTGGACACGCTGAAGGTGATTACACCATCTTCCTTTTTTTCTGTTCTATTTTTTCTCTCCAAATGAGTCTTCACTCACTGCATCACGCTTGATTACATCATCAGTCGTGGTTTATTATCTGCAAACGTATGCTGTATTTTAGTCCATGTTTAAACACAAAGCAGGATGTGACTTATGTGGTTAGGGGAAGGGAAACATATCGATGAATATCAATGAGATTCAGACAGATTTAGATGGATCAGAAAAAGAATGTCGGTGTATATTCTGAAATGTTCCATCAAAAACGGCTTGGACTCGCATGTCTTCATTACGTGAAAGAAAACTTAATCTGGTTGGTGTTACATTCCCTGAAAAACAGACATGGCTGTTCACAGAGGTGCTGCTTGTCAACAGGCAAGGCAGGCAACTGCTTGGGGCCCCAGACCAGTAGGGGGCCCCTGAGGGCTCACAAACTTAAACCAAAACAATGGCCAAGAATATGCACATTTTGCAATAGGCAGTAGGACAGACTCTAGAATCGGCCATAGCTGTTCATGAGTTATGTCTGAAGGAAGTGTGTGGTATTGAAAATCATGTGAAACCTTTTTATTTCGTTTCATCTCTTTTCAACAGATGATCCCAGACCTGTTGTCAAGGTGTCCACTTCATGGCCGAGTCCTGGAGCCAATGTTACTCTGAAGTGCCGTTTTAGCAAAAATTATGGATTGTGGACGTTCAACTGGTATAAGGCTGTTCCCAGATCATCCAACAACTCCTACAGTCATGAGAAACTGTCTCACAGCTGCAGTGGACAAGGTCAATGTTCCTACATTGGTCATGGACAGACACACACAACAGCATATGTGTGCAAAGCTAACAGGGGAAATGATACTCGCACCAGCAGACCCACGTTTGTCTGGTCTAGAGGTCTGTATGTTTTACTTTTAGCACCACCAAGTGTTTACTTCTGTTTATTCTTGACTGTACTGTGATATGACATGACAAGCATTTGAACGTCTGCAGACACATGCACGACAGGCTGAGTTGTTTGTGTACAAACAAAAAAGCCAAGAAAGCACACAAGCTAGGGCCAATATTAAAGTCATTCTTACATACAAATCAATATCAAGATATTTTCAGTATCAAATACTGTCTGTTTAGAACAGAAAGGTGGATGGTGCTGAATTCACAAATAGGGTGTTAACACTTGCAGAAAACTCCTGAAAAACGCCTGACATTTCCAGGAGGAGCTGCATGTGTGAACGCAAACAGCCACATTTTTCACTCTGATCTCACACAGACTTTCTCCGGCCAGCCCTCCTAGTATTTTTTCTGCAGCAAGTCCGGGTGGGCTGATGTGAGAACGCAGCAGGATATTCTCCGGAGAATTCACCTCGAGCCAATAGGAGGGGCGGAGTGACGTTTCTATACTGTGACGTCGTATAGCGGACTCTGTTGCTCCGACCGCTACTTCCACGTCCCTCCCGCCCTCCTGTCTGACAGGGAAAGTCTCCCGCTGTGAGGTGTACATGTGAACAGCCAGGTCAGGAGAATATCCGGAGCAGTCCTCTGGATATTTTCAGGAGTGTATTTGTGAGAACGGCTAAAGAGAGCCAATAAGATGGAGTCGGTATTTAAAGACTGTCAAAACTTGCCGTTCACCGTACCTTCCTCATTAAACTACAAACTCTGTGCTGGATTTGACCCTTCACTTTTTCTTATCTTTTCAGAAATTCATCCAAATTCAATCAACGTGAGTCCTCCTGACAGAGGCCAGCACGTTTCCTCAGAGAATGTCTCACTGAGCTGCGAGGGAAACTCTTCTAAATGGAGGGTGATGAGATTAACTGAAAAAGGCCATCGGTCAACCTGCTCTGAATGGGGGACAATGAAAAATTTGACGTGTGACATCACAAACCCTACAAAAAAAACAGCCGTGTACTGGTGTGAGACTGCATCAGGCCAATTCAGCAATGCAGTCAACATCACTTTTCAAAGTAATGTTTTGTTTTTTATCTTAATCTAATTTGCGAAACAATTGTTTTTTAAAGTCTCTTATACAGATTGTGTTTCTAATTTATATTAGACAGACAGAGTAATGCTACATGATGCCTTAAAGGAGTCATATGTAAGATATTTACTGACTGAAATGATTAAAGGACCTTACTATATCATCAGGCATTAAGGAAACATGATATGTTGAAGTGCTGGCTTCTCTGACTGGTCTGTATTTTTATTTGGACCAGAGAAGGTATATCGGTTTTAAGGCACCCCCACACAGCCGTTTTGGACGCCCCTCGGTTTGCCAGGCAAACGGTAAACCAACAGGTGTTTCAGCGATGGAAGCGAGCAAGAGAAGTGGTTCAGATAGAAGTGATTGTGCCCGACCTTAAAAGCCTCTGCATGTTTCTAATAAGCTCCACGAGCAGAAACGTGCTCAAACTAGGATCAATATTGGAGATGCTTTTAGAAAAATGGAGAGAGGTTAGAACGCAGAAAGGTTTACAGACCGATGCAGAGCTGGATAAACACTGAAGCTTCAGTTTTTGTGTTATTCTAACTCGGCTTGCGTATCAACTCTAGGGAGGAGGTGGCTGAACTGCAGTACCCATTTTTAACACTAGAGACATATTGCTCCCTTAAATAAGACCTTTAAAAGGAAACCTACATAAATTGGTTAAATAAGTTCATAGATAAACATTTAATTGTATCTTGTACATAATAGTACCTGTCAGTTACACATGTGGAAGCAATCTATAAAATGTCCTGACAAATAACCATTTTGTTCTTTTATTTTGGCAGTGTCCAGCTCTGAAGGTTCCTCCTTTCCTCTGCCATTGGTCCTTGGACTGTTTTTTCCCCTTTTAACCCTGATGCTCCTGCTGCTGCTGTGTTGCTACAGAAAGTCAACGAGTGAGTCCTGATCATTTTCAAAGACATACAAAACTTATAGAAAATGATCAATTCAGAAATATTAAACAATTTAACAAGAAATGCCTTTTTTCTTTCAGATACATTCGTCACCAGGTCGGTAAAACGCTTCTCCCTCTAGAACCTAAAAGTGCAGATGTTTCTTCTCATGTCTGTTTGACGTTTTGACAGGATCTTTAACCTTTGTGTTCTCAGGATTTTTAGACCCTCAAAGTCTCAGAAAACCAATCAGAGCCCAGCTGCAGATGACGTGGTCAACCAGAACCAGACTCAAGGTAGAGGGTCTCTCAATGGTCAATATCACAAAAATACATCTTCAAGACCTCATCATTTCTTAGAAACACTTGAGGCTGATTAATTATTCAATAACATAGGAACTAAAAACAACTAATCAGTCTGTCAGAAATGTTTTTTGAGTAAACATGAGGCTAACAATACAGTAAGAATGAAGCAGATGTGTAAATATATTTAAAGTAATGGGGATAGTTTTATCATTAATTCAGTCAAAAGACCCCAGCACAGTTAAAATTGCTCTGTTAAACTTTTAATATAGACATACTGTAACCTTGATTTAAGATGGTGAGTCATCTTCTCGTGTTTATTCCAGATGCAGATGAATCCAACGATGTGACGTACTCTTTGATTCTGTTTAAAAACAGAGGTAAAGGTGAGTACTCGTGTTTCAGACCAGGTCCGCCTTCATTACAGCTTCATCAACGCTGCAACGCTCAAAAAAGAATATCGGTATAATCATGGTCACCAACCTTTATTTAAGTCTTTAAATCATGAAGGTGTTTGAGATACAGTAAGAGCACAATATTAAAAGAAGAAGAAGAGGATGTTGTCAGTTGGCTGGTCTTGAAGGATTGACTGACTGCAGGGCAGAGGGAGACTCAGGATGGGGGTTCTGTCTCAGACGTAATTCTGGCCGAGCTGATCACGATCCGGACTGTTCCTAGAATTAGACAAACGAGAGGAAGGGATGAGGAAGGAGGGTGAATAGATGAGGAAGGAGGGTGAAGGGATGAGGAAGGTGGGTGAATGGATAAGAGGAAGGGATGAGGAAGGAGGGTGAATGGATTAGAGGAAGGGATGAGGAAGGAGGGTGAATAGATGAGGAAGGTGGGTGAATAGATGAGGAAGGGATGAGGAAGGAGGGTGAAGGGATGAGGAAGGTGGGTGAAGGGATGAGGAAGGAGGGTGAAGGGATGAGGAAGGAGGGTGAAGGGATGAGAGGAAGGGAGGGTGGGTTAAAGAATCGAGACAAAGAGGGTGGAGTGGGACGGCTGGCCGTGGTCCTGCTTCTGAACCTAAGTTAATGTATTCATTTAATTTGTGTTTACAATATTTAATATTCTTTCAAACAAAAGCCTTTGGATTTTATAATGTGATGCCGATCTGTTTTTGAAAATAAAAATCTTGTTTATTTGTTATTCATCTGATCAGGTCTGCAAAATGAACCAGAGGAGGAGAGCTCTGTTTACTCCAAAGTGAAGATAGGATCACCTGCAGCTACAAAAACATAACATACACAAGTCCAGACTTTATTTTGAATGAACATTTTGGTATATTTGAAATGACTCGAGGTTCTTCATGGGAATGAGCTTTCTTTGAATTGGCTTAGTCATCTCAGGTCGCGACCAATAGAAGTCAACCATCGTCCAACTCTTAAACTTTGATTATTGATATTTATCGCTTCCTAAGAGAGTTTTTTTTTCCTCTGCCTGAGCCAGTTTTATTTTTTTACAGAGGGCATACATTTGAACTGACCTTCCTGTTGTTTCGCTTTTCTCTTTGGTCTTGCTTTGCAAATTTGAGAAGTCTGTTGCGAATAGCTTTGCAACAGATTTCTAACTTTTCCTAATCACAGAAACTGCATTCTATTGCAAACGTCTTTCTTTACATGAAAATATGTCAAATATGTTATATTGCCTGTTTCATGCATATTCTTAACTGTACATGAAAACTACATACACATGCAGATATCAGAGTCGGACATGTTTACTGTGTTTGTTTCAGCTTTCCCATACTGTTGGTATTCCCGACTTAGATTATGATCTAGATCAACATGTGTTCAGTTCAGTCTGAGTTGTTATTGAAGAACGAATCATCTGTTCATTTGTAGAAAAGATGTCTCATGAAACGGTTTCTTCTGAAGTCAAAAGAGGAACACCTACTGGTAAGAATCAAACCATGCACAGAGTGTGTGTGTGTGTGTGTGTGTGTGTGTGTGTGTGTGTGTGTGTGTTTGTGTGTGTGTGTGTGTGTGTGTGTGATGGATTTTGAAACTACAAAATCTATTGAACCTTTTGAATAACTTCTCATCACTTTTCTCTGATTTTCTTCTCGGTCCATGAAGAAAAGTGTGTTGTGTTGTGTTTGAGACGTGCTTTGTTTATACATAGCTTTTATCTGCTGCCTTTTTTTTCTTCTTTTTTTTAACATGATTGCTCCTAGTTTTATGTTATGCAACAATAAACTTTTTTTTTCATAACACCAAGCTGTCAATCGTCTTTTTAAATGTTTCTTTGCTCAGTTTCATGTTATTTTCTTAACCTCACCAAATGGCTTAAAACCCTAAAGAAAAAAACTCTAACCCTGGAATATATTAGAAAACCATTAAAGATGTTATACTATGTACCAATGGTAAACCTGTCCTTAACAGTTACCTTGACAGTATACTGTTTTCTTAATGTTTGCAGGAAGTCAACCCACTTATGAGTTTAAACAGGAAATCATGAACTACTGAGGTAAGATTTCGTTGATAGGAAACTTTCTGAAATGCTCTTCCCATTTTTTTTTTTGAAAGTTGTTGGTTTCTATGAATTTGTCTTTTCTTGTGAAAGATTCGAGGGTCTAAGGGGGTCACAGAGTTTTAGACGGTGAAGCTCTGCGTTGCATCTTTTGTAACTTTGAGGTAAAATAATGGTTAGATGTTTCATTCCCATCAGCAGCTAGGTTGACTTTTTTTAAGCTCCTACTTTTCTTTGAGCTTTGCACTAACTCTGTGACACAGCAGCCACTCTGCCTGTAAACAACAGTATTTATCTCCACTTCATGGATACACCTTTAATCAGGTAAACACAGTGGTGTGTTGGTGTCTAAAGAAGGGGGTATACTCTTGGTAAAATGTTTTTTTTAAAGGTGGCCGGTCCAGCAGAGGATAAACGGTCTCTGTTATAAACAGGTTGAGCAATGTTAGCAACTTTTGGTACGCATACAAACAAAAATAAATCCCCCTCCAAAAGAAAAAAAAAGTAAATGAATCCTCAATATTGGGCACATTTTCTAGCCTACTTATCCAGTTAATGGTTTTCATTGTTTGGTTGTTAAGAAGAAACACACTTTAAAGCTTCCAACTTTAATTAATGTTGCATTCTTGTATTAAACAGAAACCCTAACCCAAACAGAAAATGAGAGTCTCACAGATTAAGAAAAAAATGATATTTGGGGGTCGTTCTTATTTTTAGTGAGGTGGACATGAGTAAAGGAGCAGGTTGAAAGGCTTGCTTGGCTTTCTGGTTTGGACTTATTTAGATGACCTGACCTACAACAGTGAGGTCTTTGATGGCTTCTTTGTCAGGAGTTTTAATGAAGATGCAGAATGAATAGTGATTGTGAGTGGTGGATTTTGGTCCGTCTGGTGCTGCTTTTGCTGCCCCCTGATTTTCTTCATTGCTCCTACTGGGTCTCTTGTTTGAGGCAGCACTGCCACCGTGTGTCCAAATATAATCCATGAGCACAGTCGACAGCAACAAGCTCATTTCCCTTATGTCCCCTTCTGTTCATCCTTCTTCTGTTGTCCTGCTGTAGTATGAGCTGTACAAGATTTGGAGCAGATGAAGATGTTAACTAACCTGTATGTGACTCTTCTGACCATAAATAATTCCTGAAGATGCTGCATTTAAAATAAAGTGCTGTTTGCTCATCACTGATGTGCATTGTAACATAAACTAAGGTCAAACTGTGTGGATAAAGAAGCTAATGCTGTATGTGGACAGCACACAGCGGGTTAAAAGAAAACATTGATATAAAATGTTTAACCCTTATTCCGCTCTGCTAACAATAAAGTATCAGGTCTGGTCAGACTGCATGCTCTACTTCCTGCCTTGTCGCTTTTTTGGGTTTTTCTTTTTTTCCGATTCAGTGAAGTTCGATAGACAAGAAGAGGAAACAGACGTTCCTACCTGCAGAGATGGCCGCTGATCGCATCCGATATTTGAGATACTTTTTTACATTCAGTGCTCTGCTGCTGTTTGAGGTCTGCCCGGATAATAATAATAATAATAATACATTTTATTTATAAGCGTCTTTCAAGACACACAAGGACACTGTACAATCAACATTTTAAAAACAGTGATGGATAAAAAAAACAGCATACAATAAAGAAATGAAATGTAGGACAGTGTAATTACAGTTAAAATGTTAGAGTGAGTAGGCGATCTTGAACAGATGGGTTTTGAGTCTGTAGGATGGGGGTGATATGATGGTATGAGGGGGTTTTGGTGACAATACGGGCAGCAGAGTTTTGAACCAGTTGGAGCTTATGGAGGGACTTATGAGGGAGGCCGAAGAGGAGAGAATTACAATAATCAATACGGGAGATGACGAGGCTGTGGACAAGGATTGAGGCAGTATGGGGGGTGAGGGAGGGGCGGAGACGGTTGATGTTTCGTAAGTGGAAGTATGCAGACCGGGTAATGTTATTGATATGGGATTTGGATGGTATGTACACCTGTCTGTTAGAGACTAGACGGTTTTACTGTAACTGTGAGTGTAAAAACTGAGACAGTTAAGATGCAGTTCTACAATCTAACTTAAAGTGCAGGAAGATCTTAGGTGCAGTCTAAGTAATGTTAATGTTGGGGTTGTATCAAGTCAACTTTGGTTATATTCTTTAATAATTATACTTAATTATTAATAATATAAATGAAATATCATTAAACTATGTTTAATCTCGTTTTGGGGCACCAACCTGTAATCAGGTAAATATAACCAAAATATCACTCAAATCAGTGGATTTGTTTGAAGAATGGAGTTGTGTGTGTGTGTGTGTGTGTGTGTGTGTGTGTGTGTGTGTGTGTGTGTGTGTGTGTGTGTGTGTGTGTGTGTGTGTGTGTGGAGAGAGGAGGGGAGAGGGGGAGATTGCTTCGTCCCACGTGGTCGCCCTTCCGATGGCGCACACCTAACAAAGACCTAAATGTGTCCTTAATGTCTAAAAGAGACCGAGTTCGGCCCTACACGATCTGTGTCTCTGAGGCGTCTGGATGGCCGCGAGTGTACAGATCTCTATGTGTGTGTGTGTGTGTAGCCTATGTGTGTAATGGCGCGGTGGTGGAGTTAGTCTCCAGATGTGCGTCTACACAGGAATCTGTGTGTGGTGTGTTAGTTAGAGGAGGAGAAAAGAGAGAGAGAAATGCGTGCCTGAAGAGGCCGGATCACAGTCCGACTCCCGCACCACAACTCGGAGTATTTCCCTTCATTCACAGAAACAAACCAATAGCCGAATTCAAGTTAATACGGTTTACACTGGCCTTTCTGATCAGAAGAGTAATACCCGGTTATAAAGCTGTTACGCTAAACACATAGAGGACGCAGCGGTCCGAAACAACAACAAGAGTTTAAACAGGTAAAACTCAGGACGCAGCGGTCCAACAAAGATAAAAATTACAGTTTCTGCTTCAATCAAACAATTGTTAAAAACACTCTGTAAAGCTAATTCTGCCCAGACCTAATTAAGCCTCACCGTCCTGGGGCAGAGGCGTCTGATGGCGGTGAGGGTCCCTTACGGCAAGAGCGGCTTCGTTGGTTCTCCGTCGAGTGGAAAGATGTCCTTTGATGTCCTTTCGTTGCAGGACGGAATAAGAACGTTATCTTTCTGATAATCTGTTATAGTCTGACGCTCTCCGAGAAACTGAGATGCTCTTTAAGTTTTGTGACTTTCAAACAGCGAGTCATGTTTCTATGAACATGTAGTTCAGCTGTTTGAATAATACAACAGGAGTTAAGCACTTGCTGTTTGTACAACATTTGAACAAGGCGTGAACAGTAAATAGTCGATAGTTTGGGAAAAAAAAGCTTTAGGATTGAAATGGCTGCCAAACGTTTGTTGTTTAGTGAGAAATTCTGTTTATTGATGGATAGCCCCTTGAGATGAACCATCTCGTTCTTGAAAGTTTTGACAATAACAGTTACCTAAAATGAAACTCTATCTGGATTTAACACCTTTAATTCTTCCCTGATGAACTATTAATCTTTATTTTAGTGCTGAATTTGATCCCCCACGGATTGGCTCAAGGTAAGTGATTGTCTTATATTTCTGATTTTTGTTTTTTAAATATTTCTGCAGTTCCTCTATTTATTACCTACTTCATCTCTTTAACATCATCCACATGTAGTGTTTTGTGTTTATGTATTATCTCTTAAGTTTTAAAAGAAAATGTCCTAGAACATGAACTGAAAATGTTTTTTTTAAGCTATGTATTTTAGTTTTCTCTTTTGACTCGACTCTGTCCTCACCATGGAAAGCTGCTGGTATTTCTAGAAACTGTTGTGACTCTGTAAGCTCTTATATCTCTTCAACAGCTGCTTCTTTTAACGCTGCTTTATACGTTACTTTAAAACCATTTACAACATTATTGTTGTGTCATTATTGTTACAGTTATATTGTACAGACATTTAAATCATTACAATAAGGATCATGGATGAAAACTGTAACATTTTCTATTTTTAGTTTTTTTTCCAATCCTGTTTCTTTGTGATGTGAACAGGTAACCGTCCCCGTGTGACCACAACATCCAACTGGCCTGAAACATTCTTGGGTGAGACGCTCACTCTCAGATGTGAGATTGAGGGAGGTGGAGACTCTGAATGGACGTTTGTATGGAGAAGAGACAGAACATACAGCTCAGACAAATATACAGCAGACAATAAATACATTATTAGCCGAGCCACTGATTCTGACAACGGAGACTATGAGTGCTCAGGCAGAAGGGGATCCCCTAATCCTACCTTCACGCCTTGGAGTGAACCCTTCAAATTGACTGTAACAAGTAAGTTGAACCATGTTGTCAATAATTAAAATGTCCAGGTGGAAATGATTTCATCTAAATGAGAAAACAAAACATTGCTTGCTTAAAGTCTTTGCAGGGAGCTGTGACAAATTATTTTTTAACTTTCAGCATGGTAACAAAATAACTGAGAAATTTAAGACTATCACATCTTTTGTAATCTTCTTAAAATATGTCTTAATATGGTTTAAAACAGTGAATTTTGATGTCACTAACAGTGTCTGAATAATTTCTTATAAATATTGGCTAAGTTATTCACATTTGACAAAGAAGATGTTTGTTGATATTGATAGAGCTCTCCTAAGTTATGATTGCTGTGTCAAAGTGAGAAAAGTATCTCAGATCCTCAAACATGGGCCTCCTGGCCCCGCCTCCTGGCTCCGCCTCCTTCCTGTTATAAACTTCGAGGCGACCGAGCCTTTGCAGTCAAGGCCCCACGGTTGTGGAACAGCCTTCCTCCCTCAGTCAGGGTCTGCCCCTTCTGTGGAGTCTTTTAAGTCACGCCTCAAAACACACTTTTACATGTTGGCTTTTGAGTCCTAATTAGGTTGCTTGTGTTTCTTTCTGATGTATTTCTATCAAATATCATTTAATATTATAGTCTGATTATATAGTTGGTATCGTGTTTGTGCATTTGTGTGTGGGGCGGATTAGGGTTTAAAAACAAGACAAACATGTTTGTGTGAGTTTTTGTCTTGTTCTTTTAAATGTGCTTTATAAATACATTTGATTGATTGATGTTGTTTTTTAAAGTGATACATGATTTGGATCTTTTCTGGAATTTAACTACTTTAAATTTAATATAATTTAAGAGATAAATCTTAACACTAGTTTCAGCTCATAATTCTTCAAGTCATTTTTACTTCTGGGCTCAGCACTGTTTGAATTTGACCAAATTGTAGGTACAGTAATTTACCTTTTTACATCTTTGTTTCCAAATCAAACAGAAATAATACCAAAGGCTGAACTGAGAGCTGACAGGACATAATCACTTTTCCAACAGGTTAACCCCAGCCTGTCCTCACCGTGTCTCCACTCTGGCTGAGTCCTGGAGACTCTGTGACTCTGAACTGTGAGGTTAAAACCCATCAGCAGGATGGAGGTTCTACTGGTATGAAGCTATTCCCAAACTATCTGACAACTCCTACAGCTACCAGCTGCTATCTGGAAGCAGAGATGGAACTGAAAAGTATTCCTTCATTGTTCACGGACAGACACACACAGCAGGATATGTGTGCAGAGCTGGAAGAGGAGAAATGAACACTTCTTATAGTGAACCAAAGTTTGTCTGGTCTGGAGGTCAGTTTTTTTCTTTATCTTTATTCTTTTGTGGTCTATGAACAACTTAGAGTTTCTTCAGTACTTTTGTCTCTAATGTCACAATGACTTCATGTCCCTCTTTCCTCTTTCAATGGCATGAACC